TCTTTCTGCGGGGGGGTGCGCCCCCCCCTAAAAAAAAAAAAAAAAAAAAAAAAAAAGAATTTTGCACATGCACACACACACGTGCTCAGCATGAGTTTGAAGCCACCAGGTCCAGGACTCAAATAGCGGCCCAGCGACATAGTCATTATGCTATCTGCTGGGTCCAGAGAAAAATATTTCTAATCTAGCAGAATACAGTTTCTAACTGAGGACCAGGGCAACTCTAAATCCTAACCTTCATCAGATTAAGATAGTAAAAAAAGGACAAGGACTCATTTTTCCTGGTAACTGAATTCATTATATCATATTTGGGTAAGATAAATAATAAAACTAGAAGACTCCAATTTATTTATTTATTCAAATAGATTTGAGAATGATATTACTCACCTTTAAAATAATCCATAAATATAGTACTGTGTACATATGTAAAAATTAAATGAGCCTCATTTTTTCAATACTCCCACCAGGGTATAATATTCCAAAACCTTGTCCACAGAACATGGGCTAACTGTGACAGTAATTCTTTCCTTTTCTTTCTTTCTTAATTATTTTTTTGGAGAGGTTTTAGCTATAGGGCACATGTGCTTCCAGAAAGACAGAGACAGAGAGACAGAAAGCGAGAATCCACCCCCCGGGGGGGATGGCCATGCCGCAGTTCCTTCTCCTCCATTCTCCTCTTGGAATCTTGGGCACCTGCCCACAAGCGCCTGGCGTGAGTTTAAGCCACCAGGTCTGGGACTCGAATTGCTGTAGACTACATAGGAGTCCAGTGATACTGCCGCTATGCCATCTGCTGGTCCCTGTGACAGTAATTCTTAAAACTTTACTGAAAAGGGGGCACAGAATCCAGCTGACTCTGAGGTTTCCCTGTAGGAAGAGAAATGTCTCGTATCTCTCCATTAATAATCACTGAAAATCTAGTATACATGTGACTCCTTTATTTCTTTTATTTAACATATATTTTTAGAAAATACAAATACATCTGAATTTAGAGTGTGGATTTTTCAAAGTAGAGTAATATGCACCCCTAGGACATGTAGCCATATGCCAGAAAGTTTGACGTCACCTGATAAATGTGACACAACTTTCCAGAGCATCTTATGCAGGGTGTGACATGTATTATTGGGTCATCTGAAAAGTCATCATGCATTTGCAAAGAAAAACATGTCATGACTTTTCTGACAACTCAATACATTTTGTGATACAATGAACCCAAAGATACAGAAAGCAAAGTTTACATGAGCCTTTTAAGATAGATCAGGAGAGGCACCAGCAGATGGCATAATCATTACATCCCTGAACTCCCACATGGCAGACCATGATTTGAGTCCTGGACCCGGTGGTTTGAAACTCAAGTCAGGAACATGTGCACGCATGCCCAAAATCCCAAGAGGAGAATAGAGAAGGGATTGAGGCATGGCCAGCTCCCATCGTGTGGAATGATTTCTCGCTTTCTGTCTCTGGTGAGTGCACACACTCTATAGCAAAACCCTCTTTAAAAAAAAAAAAAAGATCAGGAGAATGCAAAGAAATGTTGCACTTGTGGCTGACACTTCAAAATCATTTCCAGTCCTCGCTTCAGCCACACATATACTAAAATTGGAACGATACAGAGAACAGAGCAGGGCCCCTGTGCAAGGATGACATGCAAATTCATGAAGTGTTCCATGTTTTTCTTGTGTGCTGGGCATTTGCTTCTCAACAATTTGAGTAGTTGACATGTAAATATTTTCTTAAACATATTTAAAACCATACTGCCTGTTGTTATAGAGTCACAAACAAAATTATACAAAATTATAAGAAATATTTTGAACATTATCTTTAAAATTTAGTATTTTGAAATTTTTAAAGTTGTTTATTAACTGTCAAGAACTATGGAGTATGAGCAAACATTTTTTGATATGTAAAGTAAGCGTGGATAAATGTAAAAAGGAATAAAAGAAAAAAACCATTTCCAGTCATCTTTAGATATTGATATTTACTGCAAAGGGGGAGTAATTGGTAAAACAGTGTAAAAAAAATACTGGAAGTATTAACATAATCAGGAAAGTGAATCCTCCTAGATTAGAATTAGAGAGGGGAGGTGGGGAATGGAGGAGGAGTTGCAGAGAGGTGGAAGAAAAGAGAAGGGAGAGTCCAAGGAGAATATGGACAGGTAAAAATGCAATTTTACTCTTTATTTAATACTGTTGTGGATTATTTGTGTCGTTCTCCTTTCTACTTATGAATAAGAGGCAGTCTATTTTTTTTCAGCTGGATTCTTTTTTTTTTAAGAGGTTTTTGCTATAGGGCGTGTGCACTTGCCAGACAGACAGAGAGAGACAGAGATAGAAAGCGAGAAATCACCCCCCCCCGGGGGGGGTGGCCATGCCGCAATTCCTTCTCCCCCATTCTCCTCTCGGGATCCTGGGCACACACGCACACGCGCCCAGCTTTTTCAGCTGAATTCTAATGGGATCTATATAATAAAATGATTTTCTAAAGTAAATAATTCAAGACACCACAAAAGTAATAAAAAACAGTTACTATGTCTAATGAGAATCTGAGTGATTTGGATTTTCTACTTTTCTATAATTTTCAAACTTTTATAATAACTACGTATTACTTTTAATGACTAGAAAAATTCAGCCAACAAAAATGCATTATCTAAAATAAGTTCATTACATGGGCTAGATGGTGGTAGTGGTAAACGCAACCATCTGCTAGACAATCCCACATGGGAAGGTTCCCAGTTCAAGCACAGAAGACCTCCCTGGATACACCAGGTGCTCACTTGGCTGGCCCAGGACCCAGGATTGGTTGAAGGTTAGGGGTGGCTTGCAGTGTCAAGATCCTGTTAGGGGTGTTTTCTTGCCTCTCACTCATGGAAGAAATAAATACACTTAAAATATAAAGTTTATATACTTAGTCATATGTAGCTCACAAAGATGTTTGGTGCTGGCTCCTAAATATGGAATATCCTTATTCTTTTTTTTATTTTTTATTTTAATTTTATTTTTTTTAGCTTTTACCATAAGAAATATGTGCTTGCCAGAGTGCGAGAAGGAGAGAGGGAGAGAGAGGGAGACAATGTGAAGTAAAGTGAAAAATCACCTTCCAGGGGTATAGCCACACTGCACTCCCTTCTTCTCCACTCTCCTCCTGAAATTTTGGGTATGAATGCACACATGCCCAAAGTGATTTTCAAGCCATCAGATCTGGGACTAGAACCACAGTGGGCCAAATGGAAATCTAACACCTTAACCACCGCACCACCTGCTGGCCCTATCTTTATAGCTATCATCATCTGACATAGGTACAGTGCCTTAGGAAAGCACTTCTCTTATTCTTAGCACAAAATACAAACAAAAGGCTATATCATATTACTTAAATATAATATCCTGGTATGCCTTTTCAAAGAGAATATAAACAAAGTCTCAACTTTTGAAAAAAAAATGAGAAAAATTTTTGTAATGTGATATTAAGAACTTATTGGGAATTCTGAGTCCTGACCTCAGTTAATATGTGGTAAATTAATGAATCAATAAAGCACTTAACCAGGAGAGCGCAATGGCTATTAGCCTGACTAATTCAGAGATTGCTGCAAAAGAAACTGCCTTACTTCAGTGACAAGTAGATACAACAGAAGGAAAGAAACACACATGTTCTTGACTTCTCTGCTCTTCTGGGGTATTTTAGCAACATTGGTAGAGGAAAAACAAATTGCATTATACCCAACTTTTGAAGAACAAAACCAGCAAAAGATAGAGACTAAACAGAATGAGTTGAAGAAGCTGCAGAGCAAGAGCTATTTTCACCATGTCTGTAAGATTCTAGAGCAGCCTGGGAGGCCCCGTGCTGCGCTGCCCCAGCACCTGAGGTAGTGTGAGGCAGCAGGGCTGCTCCCTCACCCACAGCGCTGGCTCATCTCAATGATTTCCTCTTTTGCTCAATCAGCCCCATAAGTAAGCTGCCTGGAGATACATCAAGGCTTCTCAACACCTCCTACCAAGGTCAATAAAAAAGGCTTTCCCAGGACAAAGCAGCATAAAGGAAATAAAAAACAGTTCTATTGACATAGAAATAATGTTGAATAGAATACAAAATAGAAGAGAAATGAAATAACTAAGCAAATGCAGTGTCGCTGAGGTGCATTAAAACCAGTTACATTTATATGATGCTTTATAATTTACAGATCATTCTCTAAATTATCTCATTAAAATCTACCAACACTGAAGTAAAAATTTTTACCATTTTACATACTACAGCACAGATTTAGAGGGTCCACACTACTGTTGTGTGCTGCAAAACACCCATTTAAACAGGTCTTCAAAGTGCAATGCTATTTCCACTACAGAAGGGCAAAACAGCAATATAGTTGAAATTATCTTTGAAAGCTTCTTAAAATGCCCATAAAATACAAAATACCACCATCTCTCAATAGGTGCAACACAACTAGTCTTTCCTCCAGCACTGAACAGACATCTGTTTCTTCAGATGAACGTGGATGAAGTAAGCTGGCTGCATTTAGTGGTCACACTGTACCAAATAAAGTTCTGTTCTTTCAAACATTGAACTCACACTTGGTGCATTCTGATTTTGGGCCACTAGGCTGCTGTCAATGAGAAAAGATTGAGGGAGCGGCAGATTTATGAGGGCACTGATTCATTACCCTCGCCATCAGGGAATGGCTAACCAAGTCAGATGGCAGGCAAAATCACAGATGGCAAAATTTTTCTTTCTATCACCTAAATATACAGCTGAATTCAAAGAAAATGACTGTACTTTATCTCAGTAGTACTCGACAGTGTATCAAATACCCATTCATTGATTCAGATATAAACAGAATGCCCACCGTCCTGGGTGCTAAGAATACCAATGTTATTAAAACAGCCCTGTCTGGGACCAGCAGTTAGAGTAATGGCTATGTCGCTGGACTCCCATGTAGTCGACCGCGGTTCAAGTCCTGAACCTGGCGGTTTAAACTCACACTGGGCGCGTGTGCATGGGTGCCCAAGATCCCAAGAGGAGAATGGAGGAGAAGGGATTGTGGCGTGGCCATCCCCCCGGGGGGTGATTTCTCGCTTTCTATCTCTCTGTCTCTCTCCGTCTTTCTGGCGAGCGCACACGCCCTCTAGCGAAAACCTCTCAAAAAAAACAAAAAACAGTCCTGTCTTCAGGGAGTTTACATTCAACAGAGCAATAATCAAATTAAGCAGATTTAATTTAATTTGTCAATTTTTTATTAAATGTCTATTCACTGTGCTAAGTTCTTGAGGAAACTGAGGTAAATGTGCAAGGTCCTGCCTCTCAAGGAGCTTATCAAATAACGAGACAAAACAAAGTGGTGCTGCTTTACACGTTGAAGAGGGCCAGCCGGAGGCGTGGAGGCTAAGGTGGCTAGATGCTACACGGCCGACAGCACGTTTCAAGTTCCAGACTGGCAGCTTGAGTATCATGCCAGGTGCATGTGCATATGTGCCCAAAATCCCAAGAGAGACTGTGGCATGGCTATTCCCCTGGGGGTGGGGGTGGGGCGGTGATTTCTCACTTTCTCTCTCTTTCTATGGCAAGTGTATGTAAGTCTTTAAGAGAAAAAAAAACCTAAAAAGATAAAAAAGTTAAACCCAAAGATATTCCTCCTGTATGGGAGGAGTCACAGGAGACTGTGGAGAAGGTGACATTTGAGTTGGGCTTTCAATTTTACAAGACAAGCAGTGACATGAAACACAGGCATTTCAGGCAGGACATGCTGAGAGAAAGGCAAATCCCAGTTGACAGCATCAAGAGGTCAAATGTAACTGGATCACATAAGTACAATGGGCAATGAAAGGAGGTAAGGTCAAAGGGGAGAGGCAAGAATTCACCCACTTCTCTACATCTACACTACTTATATCCGAGTCAGGTCCATTGTCATCTCTTGTCTCTTGGCTACAAGAGAAGAGTATCCCCCAGTCTCCCTTGCAGCTAGAATTGAACCAATGTCACTGAGTTCTGGTTACTTGGGTATATGCCAAAATGTTCTAGACCATGTCCAGACCTGACTGTAAAATTCCTAATCATCCACACTCCATTTCTCCCCTCCTGATGACTATAAAGGCCATGTATTGAAGACAGCTTTTCAAAATATGGTGGAGTCTGAGTGTTCAAGTTAACACTCAACAGCTGCCTAAGAGAGCCACCCAACTCAACTACTGTGTTACGTGATCTAGAAATAAACCTCCGTGGTGTTAAAACACTGATATTTATTTATTTAATTCTTTCTTTCTTTCCAAAGCATAGCTCAGCCTATTTGTGTACCTTCCCAACTAGCCTCTAATTCTCCCTTGCCTCATTTGAATGCACACAACTGCAAAAGTAATTCTGCTAAAGCACAGAGTGGGTCACCGTGCTCCTGCATAATACTCCCAAGGTTTCCTGCTGTACTCAGAATGCAATCCAAACTCCTTGAAAAGGCCTACATAGCCCTGCATCATCCGTCTCGGCTTCTCTTTTCAACCTCATCTGAAACCACTCTCTCCTTCCATTTACCATATCTGGCCACACTTGTCTTCTAGCATCAGGGCACATGTTCTTCCCACTGCTTACTTTTGCTCTCCACACAGCCAACAAAGCTTGAGAGAGAGAGAGCGAGCGAGCGAGCTTTCATGAACACCCTATTTTATGAGAGGTTTCTTGTTATTCTCTAGGTCAACC